GCAGCCAGGCTGTGCACAGGAAGGGCGTCTAACGCCTTGTGCACCATGGCACCGCATCTTTGGAAATCGCCTAGAGAGTCCAAGAAGAGCTTTGAATCATTTTTTATGGGACAGCAGCCCCGCACCACCTCCAGCCAGCTCCTGGCCCCGTTGTTCGGGGGGGTCAGTCAGACGCAGAGGGAGACCGACCCGGCCTGTCAGAGATCACTGTCCCAGTAACCCACACGCAGGAAGGGCGTCATCCCCATCCCCCCTCTTCTCACTGCCTGACTGTCGCTCTGCATCTTGCTGAGCCGCAGGCGTTTCCTCTACACGGCTGGGGAGTCCTGTGGTGGAGACAAAGCCACAGACACAGCACAGAGTGGGAGGGGAGAGGGACCGGCCATCATGAGGGCTTTTCCAGCCATGATCCCATCCAGCCATTTGCTGCTGTCTTAGCACTGCAGCTCTAATAAGTCTCAAAGAGATTCCTCTAGTCACTGTTAATTCCTGCCCTTCCCCTTGTGGCACCGTACCTGGGAGCCGGGATGCAGAGGCAGGAAGCAGACATGATAATTAACCTCTGTAGAGGTGCAATGCCCAGCCCAGACACAGCACCCCATAGGGAGCAAGGGATGTGGGGATTAATTAAAATGTTGATATTGCTAACGAGTCCCCAGCTGGCACTTGTCAGTGCCCTAGGTGCCAGGCTCAGGAGTGACTCCTGGTTTGCATCAGCTGAGCTCTGTGTGCTGTCCTGGTGCCTGTCAGAGCCAGAGGAGCATTGGGCAAGTGTGTCTATCAGTGATTTGGGTAACAGCATCGATCGGGGGGTCTCAAACTTTCTGGCCCCTGGCCCGTCCTGTTCAATGCAAACATTCCACCGCCTCTAATAGAGACTGCCCTGCCGTGTGCTTTTAGGCTCTGCCGGTGGGACCTCCAACCCCCCCTCCCACCCCCGCTAGGATTCAGACCAGGCGCTCTACCTGCTCGCTCTGCAAGAATCCTCCCTTTGGAGGGTCAGCCCAGGCCACCAGCCTCCCTCACCCCAGTCTGGGGAAGCTCTGGACCAAAGCCTCCTGTTCTCTCTGTGCACATGTCAGAGCCCAGCTATCCCACAGCTCCCCACAGTGTATCGCCGCTGCTCGGCTCAGCAGACATGGATGCAGATTTGAGTACAAACTTTGCACCCGCACAGGGCTCCCAGCACCACCCCCTGCTAGTGCCCGACTCTCCATTCCCAGCAAGAGCCAAGCTCCAGCCTCATCACCCAGGCCTTTCTTGTTGCTAGCAGCCAAGGGCATGCTGGGAAATGTAGTCCTTTCCCTGTGCCAGGGCTACTTGTCTGTCCAGGACCAAGGAACTCCAGCTCCCAGGCTACCTTGAGCCTTTAACGCCCATGCTGGAGCCAGGTGCTAGTTTGCCCAGGCAGCCAGAACCCAGTGAGCGAGGAGGAGGGGAGGTAGGCTCTGAGCTAGATCCCAGCATCCCAGATCCATTAGCCCAGTGGCAAATCTGCTCCTGTGGACCACCTGCTTATTGTGAGTCAACAGTGTGACACCTGTGTGAACAAAGCCAATGTGATTCTGGGCTGCATGACCAGGAGTGTTGTGAGCAAGACACGAGAAGTCATTCTTCCACTCTACTCTGTGCTGATTAGGCCTCAGTTGGAGTCTTGTGTCCAGCTCTGGGCACCACATTTCAGGGAAGATGTGGAGAAATTGGAGACTGTCCAGAGAAGAGCAACACAAATGATTAAAAGGACAGGACAAGAAACAATGGCTTCAACTGCAGCCAGGGAGGTTTAGGTTGGACATTTGGAAAAGCTTTTTGGCAGGCTCAGGGCCATCTTTCGCTACATGCAGAATTTTGGTGCTCTACTGCAGGCGTGTGTTCTTGTGTGTCTGAAATGCAAAACTGAACTGAACCATCAGGATTAAATTAGCCAATTTGTCCGACTTAAGCAAAACTAGCTACATTTTGAGACAAGAGTGAACTTTTCATTTCAAAGGTACCTGGTTTCACAGGGGAGGTGGTGGGGACAGAACGCATGGGGAATGAGTTTCTCCTAGTCTATCTCAGGACACTTCTTCTGAAGGAGGGATGCTGTGTTCACCCAACGATCTTGCCATCATGGAGCTGCTGATCCCATGGGGAGGGCAGGCTGTAGAACACTTTCCGGAGCCTGGCACTACCTGGGTTTGACGATGGAACATCATGAGCTGGAGCGCTGCCTCAGCACTGAAAGTAAATAGCCATTTAAACCCAAACAGAGAGTGTGTGCCTGACAGGGCCGGGGAGAAAGGGAAGGGCAAGGGGAAAGAAATGGGGATGACCATGTAGAAGTCATGGTTTTCTTGGTTTTATCAGAACACTTCTACTTTCCTCTATGATATTCCAGAAACCTGAAGTGTCCCCACTTGCTTTTATTTCTTCGAGCCATTTTTGTACAAGAATCACACGTTGTTTCCTCTGTTGCATTCGTGCTGCATGCTCCTGTGGCAGGTTCTCCAGGATGCAACCTGGACGTAAAGTACCGCTATGGGCTCTGGGGCCTGGCTCACACGGCATGGGAAGTTCAAGACAGGCAACTCCAGCTATGTAAATCGCATGGCTGGAGTGACGTCTTTTAAATACCCATCCACTTGGTGGGAGGGCGACGGGAGCAAATGTTCCTGCTTGCTTCCCTTACTCCTTGTGAGGAATGGGAGTCCCAGCACCGATGGGGGCACCCTTTGAGTTCGATCTAGCAGGTCTGTACTACCCCTGCTAAACCCAACCCCTGACGATCGACCGTGGCAGCGTTGATCTTCCATGTCGTGCAGATGTGCCCTGATTGACCCTCATGGGCCCCCGCTCACAGGAAGATGCTGTGACAATCTGCAACCCTTCCCAGCTGCTACACTTACACAGCCACCCACAGTCAGGGGCATCCTCAGCTGAGTCACAGGGATGCTCGTCCAGCCCCGCATGGACTAACAATAGAGGGGTGACAGCCAAATCCCCCCAGCTCCCGAGCCTAGGAACCCAGAGCTGCATTGTCCTGCCCTGGACAGGACGCCGACCGGTGTAAGTTTATTGCCCACTTTGCACCTTCCTCAATGTGTAGAACACGCACACCCGCTCGTCTTCCTGAGCCGATTTCCCCAGCACTTCCACCCACACACACTGCGTTAGCTAAAATATCGACTAGATTTATTAACGACAGAAAGGTTTTAAGTGACTGCAGGCAGCAAGTGGACAGATCAAGGTGGGTTCCCTGAGTAATAAAAGTAAAATCACAACCTGAGTTGTACAAACGAGACAAGATTGAATCCAGACTTGTCTCACCCTGATACACAACACAATCCAGTCACAGATCTTCCATACACCAGCTGGAACGTCCTTCAGCCTGAGACCCTCACAGTCTCTCAATCACCAAAGAGGTAGGAAAATATGACTATATGAACCTATAGTATGCAAAAGTTCTCTGCCCACGCTGCGTGTGGAACATGGCAAAACAGAATGTCAGATTATGCGTTATCCATAGAGAGTCAGCATTGTGCATGCCACACAATTAAGACTTTCCAGCCAGGTGAGGGAGTATTTCTTTATTGGTAAATCTCTGCAAACTTTGATTTCACTGTTCACACACAAATCTATGACAAAATGTTTCTATCAATGATAATATAAACTTTAACATACACAAAGTAAGAAAAAGCTGCTTGAGAAACTAGAGTTTCGGTTAAGGAATTTCTTTTGTATATTTTGACATGTAACATTAACAATTTGTGCTTTCATATCTGTAAATGTTGATTTTTTTAAATTTCACTGTTCACCAACACTAATAATTCTTGTCTGACAGCTGTTGCCATATGTGCCTGAAATTGTTAAAAATCGAAGTACTCAAAAACAAACAAAAAAGCTTGAAATTCATTATTTTAGGCAACTATGACAATTTAAATGGCTATAAATATGCTTTAAAATGTACTTTGATATCTCCTGCCAAATTAGGTAAAAAAGTAAAGTTGAATTCTGCCAGGCGTCCTTGGAGAGCAGGTAAAGAACAGGCTGTAATGTAAGGGGGAGAGAGGCGAATGTTGAAACATGCAGGACTATAGAAGTGGGGAGGGGGGGTTTCAGTGCAAAAGTTATTACCGCATGTCTAGTACTAATCTAATGAAGTCCATGGGTCTTGCTGCAAGAGCTGACCTGTGCCTTTCACTGTGGTAAAAGGTGAATTTCTCTAGCACGTCATAGTCACTGTGACGAGTGGGAGGGGTGCTACCCCTTTTCTGAACATTCCAACCAATCAGTTAGCTAAATTGCCTGTAGGGGTTAAAACCAGAGGGTCCTTAAGGAAGTGTTGGCAGGGAGCCAGGAGAGCCAATGAAAAGTGTGTGTGAGTTTTTGAAAAAGCAGGACCTTCCTGCTGCAGTTTTTGTGTGACCAAAGCTGGGAGAGCGGAGGTAAGCCAGGAACCAGGAATGGGCTTGCCAGTCATATCCAGGCCTAGGAAAAGACTAACCCTTAGAACAACAGAGATGTGAGTAGAACAGGAATGTTTAGTTAAACACAATCAGGTGATTTTCTTGAATTTTGGGTTTCTGGAACTCCTCTGTGTGAGCCCAGGTAACTGTAACTTTTAAACTGACTCCCAGTGATGCAAGTCTCTGTGTTTCTTTGGGAGTTTTAATCTACCTTTTCTTCAGTTGCTCTGTACCACGTAGCAACCAAGTAATGCTTTACCAAGTATGTTTTCTTTGTTTTCTTAGTAAAATCACCTTTTAAAGACTATGATCTGATGTCTGTGTCCTAGAGGGCAGGAGGTTCTGTGTGCACACGCCTGAGACTGATGGAGACCTGTATCTAGTCCTGATGTTCCTAAATCCACACGGAGCTAGCTACATACATAGTGCTTTATTGGCTGGGGAGAAAGAGAAAGAGAGAGTGGTTCACAACAGACATAGAGCAGTGATTCAGTTATATGTCTAGGTGTATTTCCGTGCAGACTCACATACTGCTTCTGCAGCTGCTGCACATCAATGAGCCATCATCAGACCCCCTCTCAGTTTTCTCAGACCCTCTTTCACCTCCTTGTTCCGCAGTGTATAGATGACCGGGTTCAGCATGGGCGTCACCACGTTGCCAAACACATCCAGCGGGGTCACCAGCACTTTGCTCAGCTGGGGCTGGGTGTAGACCAGGGCACAAGGCCCAAAGTACATTGTCACCACCGCCAGATGGGAGGCACAAGTAGAGGCCGCTTTGCGCCGCCCTTCGCCCGAGTTCATCTTCAGGATGCAGTAGATGATCCTGATGTAGGACACAAGGATGAGGAAGAAGCAAGTCATGGGCACCACGCCAATGTTGGTGAAGCTCACGGTCTCAAGAACATACGTGTCCCCACAGGCCAGCTTAGAAACCGGGAAAATGTCGCAGAAGTAATAATCCACCACGTTGGACCCGCAGTAGGGCAGCGTGAAGGTCAGGCTGGCGAGGATGGTGGCGTGGAAGGAGCTGCAGATCCAGGTGCCAGCAGCCAGGAGGGTGCACACCCTCCAGTTCATGATGAGCAGGTAGCGCAGCGGGTGGCAGATGGCCACGTACCGGTCGTAGGCCATGACGGTGCAAAGCAGGCACTCGGTGCTGCCCAGGAAGTGGAAGAAAAAGGCCTGGGCAATGCACCCGCCAAGTGAGATGACCCTGCTCTGACCTGAGAGGGCAGCCAGAAATTTGGGGATGCTGACGGAAGGGATTCCAAGGTCCACGACAGCGAGGTTGCAGAGGAAGAAGTACATGGGGGTGTGCAGGCGGGGGTCGGCGAGGACGGCTGAGAGGATGAGCAGGTTGCCCAGCAGGGTGCAGAGGTAGAAGGCTAAGAAGGTGAAGAAGAGGATGGTCTGGAGGCCGTCGGTGTTGGGGATCCCTCGGAGGATGAAATGAGTCACTGTCATGTGGTTGTCCCACCCGACATGGGACTCATTCCTGGGGTAGGGCAGAGAAATGAAGCCAGTGAGCTACAGAACCAAACCTGTCACTTTACAGCTGTGATATTCACCCTTCCCACCTCTGCCCCCAGGAATCCCTTCCTCTAGAAGCGGAGAATATTTCTGTCTGTATAATACCAGTTAGGGTCAGGGTCTCGCTGTGCTGGTGCTGAACGTGGAAAGAGAAAATGCCTGAATGTCGGAGAGTCGGGAGATGAATAGACAAAGTGACTCCTCCTATTCTGTTCTGTTCCATTTTAGTCTATTCCTGTCTAGCTGAGCAATTGCCTTCCCTTCTCTCCTGCGCTGTTCCTGTGTCTTCAGTCATAGTCTATGTAGGCCTATTCCCACCCGTCTCAGCTCATCCTAGAGCCGTCTGTGTCGGGCACACATCCATGGGGGTTTTCTCTCTCTCACCATCTCCACAGAAATGAGGAGCCTGCTGGCAACTTGCAATTAAACTGGGGATTAAACTTCCGTAGGAAAAAACTCCTTCGTCAGACACATGGACAAATAAATGAGGGTCACATATACCACCGTACACCAGAAACCTCATGACCACTCCTACCTACAGGCTTCCTGCTTCCATGCAGGACACATCGCACGATCCATTGTCTATAGTCAACCCCTAAGATACAGCCGTGTCTACTCCAGTCCCTCAGACAGAGACAAACACCGACACCAGCTCCATGCGTGCGACAGAGTCGTTTGTCCCCACGAAAGCTTTCTCCACAACACATCGGCCAGTCCTTGAGGACCTGCCGGACTTCTCATCTTTGCAGCCGCAGATCAACACACCCACCCCCCTGAGACCTCTCTGCAGAGGGATGGCTGTGGGGCACAGTGGAGGGTTTGGTTTGGGAGGGTTTTCAAGTTACATGCACCTGGGCTGCGACATGGGGGTCACAAGAAGAGGGAGAGGAGGGAACATGAAAAGTGATGCATGTGGGGGGGAATTGCTGATACATCGGGAAATACAGGCGTGTTGGGGGCTGCACTGGGCTTGGAGAGAGAAGGAAAATGAGACAAGCACAGCGAGAGGGGCTGGAGCCAGGGCTACAGAGAGACGCTAACTTGACATGGTTTCCATCATAACCAGGGTCCACAGTTTGGATCAGCATGTCTCAGCCACATCCCTCACTGCAGAAATTGTTCCACGCCCCCAGCCATAGCTTCTCCCATGCTCAGATGTGACCACCAGGCTGGACCGTGTAGCAATCCTGGCAGAGGGGATTTTGTGGATGAAATTTTAAGGAGATGAACACAGCATCTGTCGGCATTTCACCAGGGAAATTCCCCAGGCAGTAAGGGTAGGGCTGCAGGGCAGAGGCTGGCGGGGGGGTTATGGTGGATGAGGAGGAGCAGGGCTGCAGGGAGAGGCTGGCGGGGGGGTTATGGTGGATGGGGAGGGGCAGGGCTGCAGGACAGATGCTGGGGGGGGGGTTATGGTGGATGGGGAGGGGCAGGGCTGCAGGACAGATGCTGGTGGGGGGGTTATGGCAGGTGAGGAGGGGCAGGGCTGCAGG